AATCTTTAATTAGTTTCGACTAAATAAAATAAATAAACATTTAAAACCAAAATTATCCACTAATTAAACTAATATGTATATAATTTATTTTTTTATTAACGTAAGAATATTTCATGTAATAGTAATTAAAATACAGTGTGCTATGAAAAAACGTCGGTGACACAAACAAATTTAGATTCGTTTTAGGGTAATACTTTTTTAAATAGACATGAAATGTTATTGACGATTTTATGTAAAGCTAATTCATATCTTTTAAACTTTTCTAAATTTTGTCACTGAAACTTTAACGATAGTTCTAACAAAAAAATATACGTAATGATCATACAAAATTATAGTTTGTAGCAAAAGTTCTGAAGATTATGTATAAAATTTCATGCTTACAGATTTTCTAGAGCCTTGTCAATTGAAAACGAAAGAAATTGGATTATTTTGAAAACAATTCAATGTGTAAATTTCTTTAATGGTTGCTCTAAAGCCTACATAACAAATTGCTTCAAAATTTTATATGTTATAATCTAAGATCTTCCGGTTATCTTGTTTTTCATTAAAAACAATATTTGACAAACCGCCGTTTTTTTACTATGTATAAAATTTTAAATTATAAAAACTAATATTATATCATCATATTTGATAACCCTATTTAAAAATATTATATTTCATGTTTCTTTTAAAAACAATAACTTTTGTACTCTGTCAGACTTTAATATGGCACCATTGTCGGTTGTTAAAGCGAATACTTTGTTTCCAAGATTCCATTTAAATATAACCACTTGTAATTTATTTACTTTATGAGGATAAAGAACATGTTGGAACTCAAAAACCTTATATTCGAAAGTATTACAAGCATTAATATTATGTATATTTGAAAGTGTTACGGATATTCGATTGATAATATTAATAATATTAATATATAAAAATTATTTGACACCAATTTCTATTGCGAGTATGCCAATTAATATAATATTAATATTAATGTGAATAAGATTTCTGATATTCGAATAGGAACGCTGACAGAATAATTTCTGTGGTGTCAACAAAATAACAATAACAATGGTGCCACCTTATGATTGAATTTTCAGCACTGATCGGCATGATCATAAACTTAAAATTTTACAAACATTTGTGTTTTCGCCTTTCAACAAGTCATAAACTGGATATTATTTAACTAAACTTTATCTGTACGTACATAAATATGGCGTTGTTTTACTAAAACTTATTTAACTTTATATAGAATTCATATTGTCGTCACGTCATGTTTGGTGAGGGCCCTGAATATGAATGTGGAGATATCACGATCGTTTACAATCTTAATCTGTAAGGATATAATCGAATAATCACAAACGAAGTTTTTTCCGGGGTCCTAGTTCATGACTTTTAAACGGTAGATATTGCAAAAAGTCCAAACACTTTGATTTAAATAAAATTTGTATACCTATTTCAGCAAACAAGAAAAACGAAAACCAATAAAACTATAATAATAACTAAAATTAAACTCCAAACCTCAAAAATAAAATAAAGGTCTTGATAAGTATATGTAAAGGGCATTTGAAAGCAACTCAGCACTTTCCTAATCTGTGCTTTTGGATTGATTGCTCCAATTATTTAATTTCTACCACCAAAATTATTTTGTTATGTCCCAAATCTTCATTCTTTGAACATCATTCTACATTATTTTTATATGTAACAATTAAATCTCTACCTTTCGTTGAAAGATTTTGTAGATTGGAGAGATAAAAAATATCGTACCTAGAAAACTACCATGAAAAACTATCATATTAAATGAAGATTCTAATTGATCTTATAAAGAATAAAAATTCATTGATTATGTCCAAATTTGATTTTCTTTTTATAGGTTTTTCATTTTCCATGTATGTGCAACGAATATTACAAATACACAAACATGCCAATTTTTACCATGTAGTACAAATAGTAAAATTTCATTATAATAGCTTAAAGGATTTCTGTTAAAAAATTTATATTTTAGTTTTTTACATTGTACTACGTTGCTCATATGATCTCATTAATTATTTGCAACATACCGTAAATGTATCAATATAATAAATAAAGTCAGTGGAGTGGAGGAAAATTGAAACATGGCCAACCAATCAAACACTTTTGCGTGAAAAGTTGTGTTATATATATATATTTACTTTGGATTAGTATTTCCGCAGCAAGTTCACTAATTCATAGACGGATCATCAATTAATATTTAAATAATAATAATAACATTTTCCAAGAAAAAAAAATAATAAAAAATAAGGGTGAAAAAATCGTCACGTCGTTACATTATATGTGTCACCTTTAATTTTGTTTGCTACAATTACTAAAATAGTATAACTAATGTAGTACTGTTATCCATATTTGGGAATATGATGAAATTAAAAGAACCCTAATATTTTAATAATATATAAATAGCATTAAATTCAAAAAAAAATTTAAAATTATGTTTGAACTTTTTCCTGCGGGAGAAAACATTACATATTTATTTGTAAATATAACTATTAATAAATAGCCTAATAAACTAAGTTTCGTACCAAAATTATTTCCAAGAGTCTACTACAACTATTTATCTATTACGGTATGATGCTTAGTATATGTGTGTGTATGTTGTTTTGCTATGCTAAATATTATTATTAAAATTTTTTTTTATTAAAATCCTTAAAAACGCGTACAAAAATGTGTTTGAATACCTATCATAGAAATAGCAGTCATTCTTCTGACTTTATATTTTCTCCATTTTGGCGACGCGTATCAAAGCCACCAATTAATTTTATTTCCGTTAAAAAAAAATTTATAAAAGAAAATAAATATACACAACAAACAGCATTTACTTACAACTCACAGTATATATATATATCAATCAATAGAAACTATTATTTAATAATTATAAAGTATGTCAATTTCATATTACTCAATTCAAGTTTGTTGCTTTGTTTTTCCAAGATCTATCTCCTAACTTTTTCATTCCATAAATGAGTAGATAAAATTATAAATAAAAGGCATTCTAAAAAATGTCAACTACAGAATCCTTATCAGAGGTAAAAAGAGTAATAGATAATAGATCTTGTATATTTATTTATTTATTTTGTACACTCAAAAAAGAACTTTTATTTTTTTAAATATTTATTATTTATTTATAACTAAATCATTTTAGAATGGAGTTTCCCGTGAAGCTTTAAATGAAAATAGTCATAATATAATATTTCGTAAGTATCAAAACCAATTAATTATCCAATCAAATAATAATAATTATATTATAGTAATAATTAATAATATAATTAATTTGTAAATATATTTATATGTATATAAATATATATACTTACAATTATAAAAATTAGAACATATGCTTAAATCAAATTGTGATTTAGAAACAATAGTATCAGAATGGGTAGAAGATTATCATAATGATAATGTTGGAGCCCTACTTGTTTTAATTAATTTTATTATTAGGGTAATTACATAATATATCTTATTATTCTACTCAATGTATTATAATCGCATATAAATATATTAATTTATATCTTCTTTTTCTTCACCTAGTCATGTGGTTGCAATAATGTTGTACATAAGGATGCATTTAAAGATGAAGAAGATAAGGATAGAATAGATGATGAAGATATAATAGTTGATGTTCTCGAGGAATTAAAAAATTCATTAAAGAAGGTATTATTTGTTACGGCAATAATCTAATATTATTTTAATATTGCCAACAACAATAATAATATATTTTATACTAACATCAATATTACACAATTAATTATATTTTATTAATAAAGGAGCTTTTATCAGATTATCCTTTAGTTTCTAAATCCAAGGATTATAAAAAATTTCGTAAAAACTTTTTGGACTTCTTTCATAAACTAATTAAACAAGTAAAACATTCTGAATTATATCAGGGCGTATTTTGTGAAAATATTCAAGCATGGATCAGTATTATGTCAAAGTAATCTTGGTGTTATCATTTACTCTATTATTCTCTTATTCCTGTCCTATTAATGTCATAATATTAACAATTCTCAATACATATAGTTCAGGTTATCGACCTTTTCGTCATACCGCTACAGCTGTTTCTCTCAACATTGTTACTGGTCTGTGTGAAGTAGCTTTTGATGTTAAACAGGAATATAACATAGCAGAACGTCAATTAACCCTCGAGCAATCAAATAATAAAAGCTCAAGGAATACTAAAAACAAAGATAGAATAAGTAGTCTAGTTACAAAAACGGACGAATTAAAAGGAAAGGAAAGAATAATAAACTCTTATATCCAAGGATTTTTTGACAGGTGATTTATTCTGTTGAATATATATAAAAATAAACCTTTTGTTTTTTTTATTTATAATTAAATTCTTCAATTGTTATTTTAGTGTATTCATGCATAGATATAGAGATGTAGAACCTGTAATAAGATCTGAATGTATCAAGGAATTAGGCGTATGGGTCATCAAACATCCAGATTATTTCCTTAATGATACATATATAAGATATCTTGGTTGGCAATTATCAGATAAGGTAAAATAATAATTGTTGTTATTTATTAGTTTTGTCCTTTTTGTAAATATTTTCTCTCTAACAAGAACAATTTATTTATTCTTAGTCTCCATTAACAAGACAAGAATCAGTAAAAGCATTATCTCGTCTTTACAATCATGAAACCTTTGCAAACGATCTTCGTAACTTTACCGAAAGATTTAAGCCAAGACTGTTGGAAATGGCATTACGTGAATCAGATATAATTGTTCGTGCTGCCACAATCAATCTAGTTACTCTGATCAATGAGATTGATTTATTGGATAGGGATTATCGTAACAAATTTTCAGTTCTTATTTATTCAGATATAACAAAAGTTCGAAAATCTATTGCTCCTTTTATAAAAAATGTTTTAGAAGAAGATTTTGTAAAAGATAAATTAGAAAAAGTTCGAATATTCTTGTCTGGTGGCAGCAGCAATACCAACACCAATTCTAGTAGCGGTTCAAAAAGAAAGCGTAATAATACTAATACTAATAATAAAAATGGTAGAAATAACGTTAAAATTAATGTTAAACGTGACTGGGTGACTTTAAAATCTTTAGCAGAATTATTAGTCAAATATGGAAAGGCAGTGGAAGATTCTCAGGAAAATGATGATGACGATGATAAAATGTCTATGGATAGCAATGATGATAATGATCCTGCTTCTAGTGAAGTTATTGATAAAGAGTATGATGATAATCATGTTTTGACACGTAATACTGGCTCAGTAAAAAATGGTAGAATTGGCTTGGCTATAGAAGACTTATGGACAGAATTAGATATATTGCATAATTGGCAGTCTTTGGCTGAATATCTTTCAAAAGATCATTCTCTACCAAATTCTTCAAAGACTAAAAGTAAAAGTATTAATATTGAGATCGATGATAGTGATGATGAAGAAGCTGTAGAAGAAGATGACAATGACGATGAAAAAGGTGATGATGATGTTGATGTTGATGATGATGTTGATGTTGAAGAAGATGAAGATGAAGATGAAGATGAAGATAATAGTGATGATTATGATGATAGAAATAAGAAGAGCAATAGTAATAAGAAGAGTAAGAGTAATGGTAATAATAAAAGAAATCGCAATAATAAGAGAAATCGCAATAATAAGAGTAATAGCAAAAAAAATAAAAGTAATCATATTGATGATAATAGTATGATTGAAGTGATTGAAGAATGTTATAGGCTTAGCGAGCAAGAAGAATCTGTATTGATACAAGTCCTTGTTTCTTGTTTGAAATTATCTTTAACAGATACTCCTCTTTCAAAAAAAAGGGTAAGTTTTTCTATTATTTGTGATCTCATAAAAGCAATAATTACAATAATAATATGACAACTTACACATACAATAATATTATTATAGACAGAGGCACAAATTGAAGAGATACGTACTGACATATCACGAACAATGGTGAATCTTTTGCCACGCTTTTTAACAAAATATGCTCCAGATGCTGGCCGTATAGCTGAAACGTTACAGATATTACCATTAATGAATGTGAATGTGTATTCTGATTTAAGAATGACAAACGTAAGGAGACATATTTACATATGTTTATAATATTTTTGTTTTTTTAAACAATGGCATATAATTATTTAATATTTACATATGTTAAAATAATTGGTTACAGGCATTTGAAAAACTTGTTGAAGATATAAAAAAATTATTTCTTAAACATACCCATCCACTCGTTCTTGAACGTGCTTCAGTAGTTTTTCAATATCTAACACAGTATGAAAGTTTCAAATCAACAACAGAAGCAAATTTAAGTGAATTACAAGAAGAAGTTATTAAAACTTTTCAGGAAGAATGTGCTGATAAGGTATGATTATTCGCATTAAAAATATGAAAGTTATAAAAATTTTTTTAAAGATTTGTCAAACGTTACACTTCAATGTTTCTAATTTAATTATGATAATTACAAATAAAAGAATCTATTGACAGTTAAATTTACAAGTGATCAAGTACATTCGTTAGGAGTCTGTTTGAATCGGATGGAACAATTGATCACCATAGACAATAATATAATAACCATTATTGAAGATAATCATGACAATGATAAAGATATCTACACTTATATTATTAAATTAATTAGGCGTGGCTTATTGCGTAATGTTGGAGAAGAAAAGGTAATGATTATTTTTTTTTCTTTTAGTGGAAGGCATTCATTCATTCATCCATTCATTCATTTGTATTCATACATACCTAGTTGTATGCTTATTTATTTATTATTCACATTGTATTCTTTAAAAGATTATAAGTTCTGCGATTGGATTTCTTTGGTATTTTCTTTTATGGAAAGTAGATAATATTACACCGAAGGATCATGAAATGATGGATATATCAGTTGTGACATTTAATGATTTGATTGATAAAAGAGAACAGATAGTTAATACTTTATTTGAACTTGGAATCTCAACAACATCCGAAGCTCTTCGAACTATCAAAACTGCTGTAAGTAGTAAGCTCTCTGGTTTGTAAGAGGGAGCATGCATTTATAATGTATATGAATATATTTGTCCATGCACTCACTTGCGCACGCTATATATGTTTCTAGGCATTTAAAACACTGGGAAACATTTATTGGCTTTTTTCAAGCAACATTTTTCATTCATCAAATGGTCCCAGTTTTTCAAAAATGAGATTAATCTGTAGTTCAGAAGTACAAGAAAACATGAAACGATTTGTCAAAGAGGAAATTGAACGATTTCGTGGTGTGATAAAAACTGCTCAATTAAGATTAGCTGAAGTTATTCAGAATGATGAGGATGAGGATGAGGATGCAAGTGATCAAGAAGCAGAAAAATTGGTGAAAAAATGTATTTAAAAAAAATTTTTTTTTTTTTTTGTTGAAAGAAAATTAATCAGGAGGGTTTTTTCGAAAAAAAATTTTTTATTTATCTTTACTATTTAATTAATTAATTAATAAAATAAAAGCATCAAAAAATGTTGAAACGCTTATTGACCCTGAAGAAAGATTAAAATTTATGGAGATAGTTGGCACATTATTGAGAGGTGTTCGAGGTGGTTGGTTTCAAGTAGAACATTCTGCAGTGATAATCAGTCAGTTTGGAACACTTGGTAGTGATCTTGACGAAGTGATTAAAAAGCTTTTACAAGATTTTAAAGAACGTATATCAAGCGGCGAAGCAAGTGTATTTGCAAATGTTTGCATTGAATCTTTAAAAAAGGTATTTACATATTTACATATCAAACTACATATATGCATGTTTGTGAAACTTATATAATTATCTTTTTTAAAAAATATAGTCTCATCAACTTTATATGAGTGGGCGTGTCCAATCAATGTATGGGACATCATTACTAGCACGTATTTGTGCAAATATTTTACAAGTGCGTGATAATAATACTAACAATTCACGCAAAGGTATAAATGCAAATACAAATGCAAATAGTCATCTAGTAAGGTTACATCGTGGTGGAATTATTTATGTGTGGACAAATATACATCAATTAACGGAAACTAAAAATTTTGAAGCTATTATAAAGATGCTTAAATTTTTTAAAATACTAAGTCTCCTTGTTGGTGGCATGAATTCGAATGATGCTGATAGAATGTAAATAATTTTATAAATTTTTTTTTGCATTATTTATATTTTTATTAACATATATTTGTTAAATATTATAGAAAAAAAATTGCCTATAAAGAATTAACAACACACAAAGTAAAAGAAAACCAATTGGATAAAAATTGGTGTCCTTTTTATGTTTATTTGGATAAATTAAGTAAAATGAAAGGTGGCAGTAAAAAAGGCAAGTGTATCTATTGTTAATTAATTAAAACTTTTTTTTGAAGTTATAAATACTTTAGTACTAATTATATTATAACTACGATTATTAGTGAATGTATCAAGTAAAAGACGATCTACAAATAATAATAATAACAATAGCACTAATAATAATGTCATCAGTAATAGTAGTGGTAATAATTCTCCTACTCCATATTCTCCTACCCCTCTTTATACCAACAATATCAATAGCGGTAATTACATTAATACCAATACAAATCAACCGATAACAATAAATGAAATAGATGATGGTGATGAGAATAATTTAAATACTACCCATATTAACAACAACAGAAATAATCATATCAACATTAACAATTCAACATCGATTAAAAGATCAGCACCAGTTGATGATGATTTAGAAAATAGGAAATCTTCACCAAAGAGAAGAAAAGCAGGTGATGCTGATAATAATAATAAATCAAGTAGTAATGAAGGTGAAAATGAAATTGGTGGAAATAATGTGAATAATAGTAATAATAATCATAATAATGATATCGATGATTCACATAGTGATACAAGTTTTCAAAGTATATCAGATCAACGAAAAAGGAAAGTTTGCATCCGTTGATCGACTTTAATTTAAATAAATAAAAAATTGTCTGGGCTAGTTAACTTTCCGAATTTAATAATTTTTTTGTAAATATTCATTGTTTTTTATATATATAAATATAATTTTTTAATAGTAGTATTAGAATTAGTTTCGCTTTTTTTTTTTTAAACAAATCAAAATCCTCATTATTTCTTTAATCAATAAAATTTTTTGAATAATTAAAAAATAGATTCATCTGTTTGGATAGTTATGAAAAGTTTATATGGTTCTATGCATCATTCCCTTTTCAATTTAGAATATTTACCAGAATGAGAGTTGAATTACGTTATAAAATAGATGGTGATAACGAATTATCAGTTTTAAAGTGATGATAATATATGGGGCCTTTTCAATAGAAACGAGGATAACATCAAAAATCATGATTTTGAGTTAACACCACACATACTAATACATGTAACTCATCACAAGAAACAATAAATGCGCAATGTAATTATATTTTTACAACAAAGCATTCACATTTTAAGAAGTTTAGAAAAATATGCAGAATAGGTATAATTTCTATGTCAAATGTGAGGAATTACATAAAGTAGTGAGTGATTAACTCAAAATTGCTTTTTTCGCAACATGGTCCTTTCTATTGACCTATATTTCAAATTTTTATAGAAATAATAAGCAGTTTTATTTAATATATAACAATAATTGATTTATAATGGTATTTGTGGACAAATATTTATGATTAAATTTATCAACTGTCAAACATTCTACCTAAAGATATACTTCATTAAAAAAATCAAGATAAAAAATTCAAAATATTTATTTCAATACTTGCAAATATTAAGTTTAAATTTTTATCATAAACTTGCTTCTTTAGCACCAATACACCCCATATAAGATGTTACATACATCTGTTTAGACAAAGTCAACATTAAATGAAAGTATAATTTTGATGTTGTTTTTCTTTGAATCTTTCAATTTCATGAAGATTTATTCCTAATCGCACTCAAAAAAGGTCGTACGTTGAGTGATGATGTGACCTTTCCAATGTTTGGTAAAAAGTATAATCTATTATCATTTAAAGTTGATGCTTTTGTCTTTAAATAACATACATTTTTATATAATTTTCAATGGCAAGTAAAAAAATGATTAAGCAATTAACATCTCTCTTCAATTTAAGTCATAGAACAACCTTTTGATCATCATTGCTATTTTTAAACACACATTACAAAACAGGATCCAATCCATCATAAGATTCAACAGTTAAATCATCTAGTAGGCATAACATATTACTACATTAAAATATGTATCAATTAATGTATCAATTAATGATCAATATCATTTAATTGTCAGTAAATAAAATCTACAGTAAATGTTGGCCATGAATTAATATCAATTTCACTTGGGAATAGTACTTCTAATTAGGATCTTTTTTATAAAGGTTTCCACTCAATAATACTTTATGTTTAAATTTTGAACAAGTATACAATTTAAATGATGGGATGATGATGATATTGTGGATGTGGATGATACTGAGGATAATGATGATGTGGATGCATCTGAAAAAATATCATTATCATTATCAGCTGAATCCCTAATCTTTACAAAGATTTGTGAGTGAGATTATTTTCTTGGACGATTCCGCCTAAAGATCCAGATTTATCTTCTTGCTTTACTTATTTGTTTTGCTTTTATCCTTTCCTCTTGCTTGATCATTTTTTTTAAAAAAGTAATTGAGTGTAAAAAAAAATCATGTTGCGCGTAATGTTTCATTAATTAATTGCAATTTATTAGTGATAGTAAATACTACCCGTAATTCGGGGGTCTGATTCATTTCGTCGACAATCATTTCGTCGACAATCATTTCGTCGACAATCACTTCATCGACAATTATTTCATCGACAATCATTTTGTCGAAAGTTCATTTCGTCGAAAGTTTGTTTCGTCGACAATCATTTCGTCGACAGTTCATTTCTACAACAATTCATGTTAATTTGCATGTATTACCAATTATGTT